AAAAATAGTTTATAAGACACAAACCGGGATGCTCAACCTTGGCTGTACATTGGAATCACTTTGGAGCTTTAAAAAATACCGATGCCTGCTCCCATCCCTAAAAATTCTGATCTGTTCATCTGGAGTGTGGCTGGGTATCAGAGCCATGGTGGAGAACCACAGATTTAAAAAGCTATTCTGTGCTGTTCAGATTGGGTTCATACTCTGGTCCACTGTACTGAATGAATAGAATACTGGATGAAGAGATGCAGGTAAAAAGGTACATTTGGTTCATTATGCAGTTAGCTGACCTGAATAAGTTGTACAGTCCAGGAAGCACACTGCCATGTAAATTCCAAAGGAAGCACAGTTATTTGAGTGAAGGCATCACTGAAGATTGCCCACAGTGGAGGCACTGGGAGACGACTGAACTGAGAGGCGTGGAGCTTTTTTGCAGCTCATCATCTTACAGGCCAGGAAATTCAGAGAGGCCAGTGACTAGCCCAAGGCCACAGGAGCTCTGGGAGTTGAGCCCGTAGTGGGGCTGGAGGTGCAGCTGGGGGCTGCCTTTGGTGCACGTGCACGGCCAGGGACCGATGCGGGGCGAGGCACAGGGTGGCAGGCCGTCTGGAGGAGGAAGAGCCTGGCTCGGTGGTCCCGCCAGCTACTTAAGTGTCCCAGCGGCTGGCCGTGGCTGCTCCTGGACTCAGAGGCCATCCGCTTAGGAGGTCCTTTTCGTCTTCCGTTCACCACACCTCACTGGTAGTATCAGGGAGAAGTCCATGCTTCTGAGCCCCCACACCTGCCCCTCCTCCTGCGACATTTTGTCTCAAAGCTTAGTGTCTTGTCCTCCTTCCCACTTGAACTAAGTCTTCTGTGTCACTCACCAGCAGCCTCTGCCCCCTCCCCCCCTGCAGGCCTAAGCTTGGTCCTTTATGGGCTCTGCCTCTAGCTGCCCGTGTCCTGATGCCACTGCTTGGCCCTGTGCCCATGTCCTCACAACAAAGGGGTCAAGGTCTTCCAGCCCTAAAGTTCACAGGGTGGCTGCCACAGCTCTTGTATTTGACCTGAAATAGAAATATCAAGGAATGGAGCAGGATTGGAAATGTTTGAGCTCATTCCTGAGAGGAACGATCCTCACGAGGGCACACCAGAGACTGAGAAGTCTCTAAGAGCTTTCAGTAGTTCTCAGTTGTGGGCTTCATCGGGAGCTGGTCCTGTCTCAGCTGAGCCCTGGGCAAGCCCACCCAGCACAGCCGTGACTCTCAGCCTCAGGGATCGCTGGCCTGGTGCTCCAGATCAGAGTGTGTTTCCTTAGGTCAGACCTAGGGTTCCCAGGCCATTTTCCCATCACGGATAGTTTCATAGGAATTGAGTTTGGATCTCTAACCCTGGTTGCATGGGTCAGGTTAATAATGTATGCAACTCTGAATAACCCAGTAAAATGTACTTTCTGACATTGTAATGGAGAATTAGGAAGATAGTTAAAAATAATCAAAACGTTATTTAGGTTTTTCCTCGATTTTCTCTTACCTGCCTCGGAGAATGTTAAGACCCCTGAATAGGGGTATGCCTTTTCAGTCACAGGGATCTGCCCATTTCTGATGCCCATTTAAGTAAGTTTTTAAGTTAAAACAGCACTTAAGGGTTTTTTTTTTTCTTTTTCTTTTTAAATATAAAATAGGTAAAACCTTATTAGCCAAAGCAGTAGCAAACCAAACCTCAGCCACTTTCTTGAGAGTGGTTGGCTCTGAACTTATTCAGAAGTACCTAGGTGACGGACCCAAACTCGTTCGGGAATTGTTTCGAGTTGCGGAAGAACACGCACCATCCATCGTGTTTATTGATGAAATTGATGCCATTGGAACAAAGAGGTACACTTCTCTCTTACTTTGTGTTGAGCAGAGATAAAAACCCTGGAGCTCTTCTCTGAGAATGATCAAGTACTCCCTGTATGGCCTGCATGTGGGTTTGCCACAGTTCCTACCATACATGGTGCTCTGGGTGCTTTAGGCTCCTCTCTCCCAGGTGCCAGGTAACCACCACCCAGGAGTTGTGACTGCCTGGAGATTCGTCTGTAACTGTGTCCCGAGGCGGAGCCAGGCCTCATCTAGACTTTAGGGATACAGCCACTGTACACAAGCCTCTGCCCTTAAGGAGCCTCCCGGTAGGGTTGGGGGCTCAGATAGCAAACATGGGAGACTGAACTAATTAATGATATAATCTCGGGCATGAAAATTTCTACAACTTAAACAACATAATCTGGCAATTGGGAGGGCGTCAGAATTTGAGTCAGAGGCGTTTCTGTCATTTCCCCTTCAGCAGATCAGTTAGGTTTTCACTCCTCTTCTTTTTCAAAGATATGACTCAAATTCTGGTGGTGAGAGAGAAATTCAGCGAACAATGTTGGAACTGCTGAACCAGTTGGATGGATTTGATTCAAGGGGTGACGTGAAAGTTATTATGGCCACAAACCGAATAGAGACTTTGGATCCGGCCCTTATCAGACCAGGTCAGATTGCTTGTTCCATCAGGGACAGCTACCGTGTTTATGTGTGACTGTGTTTAAGTGCACGGGCAGGGGATTTAAGAATGATACATATCAAGGCAAATACGTCATTGAAGTGCAGAGTAACTTACTAAAAACAGTGTCCCCCGAGGTCGTGGTTAAGCGAGGACATGATGCAGTGGGTGTAGCGTGGCCCTTTTAATTCCAATCTTAAGTTGTGATCTTTTCTCTTTCCCGTAATGGATATTCTTTTTTCTGAAGGAATAATTCATATGCCAACTCAGGTTCATTTTTTTACATTCAGGTCACACCAGGAAGCAACAGTAGCTAATTTGTTTATGCTTTTGTAATGTTTTTAACATGCTCTTTTTCCACTACATAGGCCATTCAGGAGCCATTCCTTTATTTCTAGGGGTACCAGAGCAGAGAGGATTTCTTTTAAATGGGATGAATTCAAATGTAGACATTTACAAACTACAGGAAGGATGTTCACTTTTCAGGATTTGGACCCATCTGACTGAAACAGCGTGAGTGAGGACACAGGCTCAGGCCCGCCTGGGGGCTATGCAGGGCTGTGACTGGAAACCTTTTCTACCCGCAGGTCGCATTGACAGGAAAATTGAGTTCCCCCTACCCGACGAAAAGACTAAAAAGCGCATCTTTCAGATCCACACAAGCAGGATGACATTGGCCGATGATGTGACCCTGGATGACTTGATCATGGCTAAAGATGACCTCTCTGGTGCCGACATCAAGGTGAGAACCTGGGTTGGGTTGTACCTCTCAGTTTTGCGCGCGCGTGTGTGTGTATGTGTGAGAGAGTGTGAGAGAGCGCGCACACACAAGTGCAAGGCCTGGCAGCACTGAATCTGGGTCCATCCTGCTCTTTCTGTGGGGACCTGGGTTTTTGTCAGGTGTAAGTGCCACAGTCAGGTCAGGACAGCACCCGTGGGGCCTTTTCACGCTGGTGCCTACACTGAGCTGCGTATCCTTGGCCTCCATAGAACTTTTACTCACCAACACAGAACTAGGTTAGTGTCTGTGTTGGTGAGTAAAAGCTTTTTTTTTTTTTAAGATTCCATTCGGCAGAGAGAGCGCGTGCGCACAAGCAGGGGAAGCAGAGGGAGAGGGAGAAGCAGACTCCCCACTAAGCAGGGAGCCCAACGTGGGGCTCGATCCCAGGACCCCAAGACCATGACCCACGCCGAAGGCAGACAGACACCCAACTGACTGAGCCACCCAGGTGCCCTGTAAAAGCTCTTTTTAAAATTGAAATTATTTTGGGCTCCTGGGTGGCTCATTCGTTAAGCGTCTGCCTTTGGCTCAGTTCATGATTCCAGGACCGCCTCCCATCGGGCTCCCTGCTCGGTGGGGAGCCTGCTTCTCCCTCTCCCGCTCCCCCCTGTGTTCCCTCTCTCACTGTCAGAATCTTTAAAAAAAAAAAAAAAATGCAATTTCATTTTAAAATTTTACACCAACTTTGTATTTTGAAAAATTTGAAGTCTTCAGAAAAGTTGCAACAATAGTAAATACCAGTATACCCATCACCTTGATTTATCAAATGTTACCATTTTACTGCTTTGCTTTATCTTTTGTTCACAAATACACTTTCTTTTTTGCTGAACCATGTGAAATATCCTGAGGGCCATAACCAGATAGAAAATTCAATGCCAGGATTGTGTTTCTGTCACATGATGTTGAGTGGGTTCTTGTTTTACTTTTGGCAAGTGATGACTGAAAAAATAAATGTATCACAGTAAATACTGTCCTGAGACTTACAGTTAGCCAGAGTACATGTTCTCTTCTGACCATGGGTAAATGAACTGGATGGACGCTCTGTTGTCTCTTAGTGTCCTGGTATAATTGCATCTGGTGCCCAGGAAGGAATGTGGCTCTCTGTAACGAGTGGAGCATTGAGAACTCCCTCACCAGGCCACCCCACTGGTTACAATGCGAGCCAGTCCTCGTTCTCAAAGCCACCTCAGATCCTCTGAGAAAGTAATTAGAAAGTTTAAGCAATTTGTTTAGTCTGTCTTACACCTTATTTCAAAGTAGCTCTCGAACTGATAGAATACTAATAAGTATTTCCCTTTCTGAACATACTGTTCTTTCTTACAGGCAATCTGTACAGAAGCTGGTCTGATGGCCTTGAGAGAACGTAGAATGAAAGTAACAAATGAAGACTTCAAGAAATCTAAAGAAAATGTTCTTTATAAAAAACAAGAAGGCACCCCTGAGGGACTGTATCTCTAGCGGACCACAGCTGCCTTCAAGGAGATGATTGGGGTTGTCCCGACCCCTTGAAGGGATGGGAGGTTGGGGTAGTTGCCCAGAGGAACCCATGTTCCAGTTGCTCTTTCTTATTAGCAAAATCTCCTGTGTACCTTTTTGAGTGTGATGTGTAGGATGCCCCCGAGGCTGCCTTCATCTGTTGGTCACGTGCAGTGCTCTGTCCCTAATAAAGCGTGCTCCTTCTCAAACTCCTGTTTCTGGAGCCTCCACGCCTGGCGCTCAGCAGCAACAAGCAGGTGGACCTGGGCATAGGGAGGCTTCTGGGAGGTGACAGGGAGTGCAGACTTCAACACCTCTTGCCCTGCCTCACACACCCAGAGCCGGTGGCAGAGCTGGACAGCAGCTAGTGGGAAAGCAGGACCCCTAAAGCCGGTGGGCTCTGCCGTTGAAGAGTATGGCTCTGGCTTCAGAAGGAAACAGCTTTTCATTTTGGAAGGTCTGGAGCCTGTGGGTTCTTAGCACTCTGGGGCAGGAAAGGAGTAGTGGGGTTCCTAGTAGGACTCTCCACAGGCCCTGGCTGGCGTCCCTCCCCCTGCCCTGGCATCCCTCGTTCTCAGGTTCAGAAACCTCATCCATCTCCAGGGTGTTCAAAACCACGTCAGAGCTTCCCTTCCCCCATCTGTTTCCAGCACTCCTCTCCTTTCTGAGCAGGTCCGTGTGCGAGCCAGGGAGTGAGCCGGGCAGACACGGCAAGCGTCCACTTGGCTGGCTGGCCGGCCACCTTCCTCGGGGGCTCTGACTCGCCAGCCTCCTTTTCCAGCTGTTGTGCGCCAAAATTCTGTTCCACGACACTGGCTTTTCTGGATGAGGTGCCAAAGAACGACAACGTCGGCAGTTAGAGGCGTCGCGGTTTTGTTTGAGAGCCGGGCCTCAGAGAAGAGAAAGCAATTTCGTCCTAGTTAAATATTAATGGTTAATAACTGCACGCATGTCCTCTTCAGAAGAAAGTGGTCTGAATGTGGACATTCACATTTCATTCCACTCATAACCCTCAGACATCAAGAAGGCGGCCAGTGCGGGTCTCTGTCCCGAGCAGCGCTGCCGCACCCACGTGAGGGCGTCGCGCGGCCAGGCTCACGGGCGGGCAGGGTCTGGTAGGAAGCCACCACTCCATTCTGCTCTGCTCAGATGGCTGCCCACGTGCCCCCTGCAGCAGGGGTCCTTCCCACACCTGGGTGCTCCTAAGTCTCCAGGGGTCCTAAGTACGAGGCTGCAGCACGCCCAGGCAATGCTGCTGGTCCACAGCTGGGAGGCGTCAAGAAGAGCTTAGGGACCACGAGACGCTTCCTATACTTGACACAGGCCGGAACACCCAAGTTCTCAGGGACTCCAGTGCTGTGGCCTGAAGAGAAGAGCAAAATCCGCTCTCCTGCTAACCAGCCTGGAGAAGAGGTCCTAGCGTTGAATCACCAGACCTTTCCTACCATGACTGCAAGATCCAGAAACCTTGGCAGGGCCGCCAAGAAGGCCAACCAACAGGGCAGACTCGCCATGGCGGGGCTGGGGACACAGAGGAAGAGAACACACCGCACATGCCAACCACGAGAGGTTCCGTTGTCACGCGGCATAATTCTTACCTACATATTCACATATATAATATGTAAGCAATAGCTTCTGTGTCATTTGCACATCCAAAAAATGCGCAAGAGCTAAGAAACTGATGACCCAGGTACAAATTACTAAGAACTAAAGCTAGACTTGGAAAACAGAGCCGCTGGAGCACACGCACTTACGCGTGCCCCGTCCTTTGCAGCCTGGCCCCGGCGGGGCAGGCAGCGAGGCCTGGAAGGCAGGGCCTGTTGAACACCTCCTGGTCTCTAGTCCTCGAGCAGAAGCTCCAACTCCTCCATGGGCAGGCGCACCCGGAGCTCCTTCTCCGTCATCAGGTCCAGGACCTCCTGCATCTCCTCAGGGAAGTGCCCCACGGCATCCAGGTACAGCGCCTAGGGCAAGGAGTTCTGCGCTTGCCAGCCTGCCCTCCCCAGCGCCGTCCGGACTCGGCAGCGCCCCGGCACCTGCTTCCGGAAGGACACCCAACTCCAAAGCGGGGGTGGAAGTAAGTGGACCCGAGCGAGGCCTTCTCTTTCTAAAGTGGGGCAAGGCTTGGTGGACAGGACAGTCCCCATTTCTGAACACGGCCTGACTGGGCTCGCCAAGGCAGACTTGGGCCACAGCCCCCGCCCCGGTGTGAGCACCTGGGCTGAACTCTGGCGGGTGATGGCAACCCCCTGCCTGCTGCAAGGCCCCCATGAAACACCAGCCCCAGCGCAGGGAGCGGACACACGCCCATCAGCCGAGGCTCCCTAAGGGACAGGTTCCCTATGAAACGGTCTGGGATGTGCCCAGTCGCCAGTGACACGGAGGGGTGGGCACCCAGGCAGGAAGGGCCTTGGGCTTGTGCAGATCTCATGGTCTCTGGGACTTACCTTTGCCCAAGGACAATTCTGAAGTGCTTTGTAGAACACGCCTTTGCTCCTTTCTTTGTTTCCCAAGGAGACCTGAGGCAGAGGCGGGGGAGAATTACAAAGAGGATTAACTGAAGCAGAGTCTGAGGCCACAGGATCCGGCCTGTCCACCCTGTCCTGATCCACGCGGGGGCTCAGCCGCAGCCGCTGGGCAGGGGTGCTCGGGGCCAAGGCTGCGTGGCTTTTCCCCTGCACCGATGGACCCGGAGGGGACCGGGCCCTGCGACTTCGGACTGGTCCACCTTCTTCACGGGGGCCATCGTGCCTTGCATCAGAACAGCGCCCAGAACGAGGCCGTGTGCGCGCGACCAGGCTGATGACTTTACACACACAAAATGTCTGCTTTAACGCTTGCCGTTTTCTAAGCTCTTAGAGGAATGAGGTAACCGGCATCACTGAATCAGCTCCTTGTTAATAAAATAGACCTCTGGTCAGGAATTTCAGCCTGAGAGCGCGCAGATATACGGCATATTCTCTCTCCAAGTATAATATCCTTAATCCCAACCCCTAGACACACTGCTCCAGTTTCCAGTGGGCATGGAAAGGGCACATGTGTCCTCCCCACCACCCCCGGATCCGGGTGTGTCCCGGTCCCAGGAAGGGATCTGTTACTCAGCGGCTCCTCGAAGGCACCACAGCTCAGCAGGGCCGCTCCCCAGGCCAGCAGAAACCTGCAGCTGTGAATGGGCACAAGCCAGGCTCATGGAGCTCAAGTCTTTCCGGGCTTTCTCCCCACCCACCTCCTCCACACTCCCATTCCCACAGGGAGAGCTTTCTAGTGGCTGCTGGCTCTTCCCACCGGATGGCCAGCACATGGCATCTGGCACGAGACTGACCCCCAGAACCTGGGGGATGCATCTAGAGACTCCAGCCTGTGGCTTAGGAGCTCTGTCCACTAAAGATGGCCTCCCTTCCTTTGCAGTTCCTTCAGGTTAACTCTCACAGAAACAGGGACTAACTTTGGGCTACAGCCAGCACCTGAGATGGCGGGCCTTCGCCACCCCCAGAGCCAGCTGCGGAGCCCGGGGGACTCCCGTCTTCCCTCCCCTCCAGCCCTTCCGAGGCTGGACCTCTCTGAATTCATACGCAAGGAACGGTGTGAGCTGTCCTTCCTTCACACACCAGAATACTTCAATATCCTTTCACAAACTTAGGACACAGTTTCCTTGTTCTTGAAAGAAGGAAAAATTGTACTGTCCATTCTCAAGCCCTGTATTTGTGAGGCTCACTGATAACCCTGGAACCCAGCAAATTCAGGTACATCGGTTGGCTAGACTCCAGTGAACACTGCTCTCTGCGATTCCCTTCATCAGCCACTGGAGAACGCCTAGGCTACCAGGTATGGGAGGGCTCCATGCCAGGCAACAGCGCCGTGCTGACCCTTGGTTGTCTCCGTGCAGGATCTCATATTCTGAGACCCAACCTAGTACCCACCCTCGGCCTCTCCCAAGAGCAGAGCCTCCCCTGGGAAGACGAGCTGCCCTGGCTCTCTGCGTCCGTCCTCACCCTCTAAGTTTCCTCGTCCTGACAACCCGTGCCTTCTGGTACCATTCCTAAGTCCAAGCTGAAGCAAGAGCGACAGGTGACTCCCACATGCTATGCGACCCCGCAGCGTCAGGATGGGGTGAGCACAGAACCAAAGGGGACGCAGCCGGGGAAGGAGCAGAGCGTGGGGGCCACCTTCCCCGTGTGGCCGACTGGTCTGCAGAGTGAAGGGGTGCCAGGGTCTCACGCAGAGGCCACTCTAGTCAGGGAGGGAGCCTCACACACACCCCAGGAGGGACCCGGCCAAGAGGACCCCGGCGACCGGAGGACGCAAGTGAGTGGGCACAAGACAGGCTCATGGAGCTCAAGCCCTGTGGGCCCGCCCCCCAAGGCCCGAGCCCGGAGAGCAAGAGGGCCTTGTGCGGGGGCCACTGCCCCTCCACAACAGCAAGTGCGCAAGCAAGGGATCACCTCCTCGGCCCCCGTGTACCCTCCTAGCTGGCGCGGGTCGCCCCCAGCTGGCGGAGGCAGCATCAGGGGAAAGGGAAACGCCTGAGGGGCTTTGGTAAAATTTGATTCTCTTTTCTTATCTGGTTGTAGACAAATCTGAGCAGCTGTTAGTGAACACAACTTTTTTAAAGTAACTTGACCCAACTGATACCCAACCCAAACAAAAACCTGTTTCCACAACACCCGGAGTGCTCCGGGGAGGAGGCTTACGTCCCCATGACCAGCGGAGTGAACGGAAGATGACTCTTCGCCCTCCCACCGGCTCTTCTAAGCGCTGGCCTTTCGATGAAGGCTGACCTCCGCCCGCTGCCAACACGGGGGAAGAAGAAATGATGCTGGAGGGTAAAACAAGCCAGGGACTACAGAGGGGCCGTGGCTCCTTCCGCTTGTAAGATTATTTCACCAGCTAACGTTTCATACACCGTCCTTTCTTTCCTGATTGTGTAGCTGGATGACCAAACTAAAGAACTCTCACAACCTTGAAAAGCACTGCAATTCTGGGTGCCCGGCTCGCTCCGTCACTGGAGCATCTGCCTTCGGCTCAGGTCGTGATCCCGGGGTCCTGGGATCGAGCCCCGCACTGGGCTCCCTGCTCTGTGGGGACCCCGCTTCTCCCTCTCCCTCTGCCTGCCGCTGCCCCTACTTGTGCTCACTCTCAGATAAATAATCTTTAAAAAAGAGAGAGAGAAAAAGAAAAACAAGAACTGCAGTATTAGCCAAAACAACAAAACAAGGTTTGGCAGAACGTGTTTACACATGCAGGGAGAACGGCGCATTTGAAAGCGCCCTCGCAGCAGAGGTTTCAAGCGGAGTTCCAGCGTTAGTGGGCAGCGTTCACTGGCCAATCCCGTCCCTGTCCCACGTGCTCCGTGGCCAAGAAGCAGCTGTAATCCCTCCATCACTGTTGCAGGAAAAAAAGCAAGCGCATAAACAGGCTTCCGTGCATGTAGATCTACACATGTGTGCACACACGTGCACACACATACACACACACGGGAAGGCACACACGCACACACAACCAAAGCACCAGCTCTCCTCCGCGGAGCCGGCTCCCTTCGGCCCTCTCCTCACCTTGCATTCTGGCCCTAACTGGACTTTTTCATGGGGTTATTAAAGCCTCGGGAGCCAACCCAGATGCCTTAGGAGCTGCAGGAGAAGTCATGCTCAAACTCGTCCTTGGTTCAATGCTACCTCTTTCCAGAAAGACAGAAATTCCTTAAGGGCCTGAATCTTCTCTTCCAAGTCAAGGAGAATTTTTCTACAATCCAACCAAATTTGGCTCAGGAAGATTCTTTGTAAAAATACCCTAAGTCCATCTTTGTCCTAACCACCTCTACCGACAACAGGGGAAGTTAAACTGGCAAGTCTGCAAGCCCTCCCTTTTCACATTTCAAGGTCCTTCATTTGCTTACAAAGACTCACACGGTATCAGCACTGGAAATTTGAGGGAGCACCTCCCCTGCTCCTTCGGCTGAGTGGTCCCACCACAGGAGCGGCGATGAAACGGGAAGCCGGTTCTCCGGACTGCGGTCTGCCTGAGCTGCACCCCCGCCCCGATTAACAGGCAGCAGCCACGAACGCGCTGGGAACGCACCATCTGGATTTCTGAAGGTTTCCATTTCACACACGGTCGAAATATAAAACCGGAGCTTTTGGGTCTGATGAGTAAATGTTAAAAAAAAAAAAAAAAAACTTTGGGGGGCCCGGGGGGGGCTCAGTAGGTTAAGCGTCTGCCTTCAGTTCGGGTCGTGATCCTGGGGTCCTGGGATCGAGTCCCACCCACATCAGGCTCCCTGCTCGGCGGGGAGCCTGCTTCTCCCTCTCCCTCTGCCTGCCACTTCCCCTGCTTGTGCTCTCTTTTTCTCTTGTCAAACATATAAAATCTTACACAAAAACAAACCACACAGACTTGGGTTGGTTCATCTTGATGCCGACTTCTGCCCGCAAGGATGTGCCTCCTTGTCCTGGGTGTGCCGGGAAGCTGCTGTCATGACATGCGGCGGCCCCCCTGCCATCGGGAGTCTAAGAGCTCAGGGGAGGCACACCAAGACGAATTCCAAAATCTCAGATGGGGAAGGCCCAAAGCTCTCCCAGCCTGTAACTTACTTTCTCCACATCTCTTTATACCCAAGTCTGTCATGTGCTGATTGGCAAAGTTCAAATACTTTGACTGCTTTGAGAATTTATCCAGTGCAAATAATCAGGGAGATAAGGAAGGTCACTCCTGGCCTCTAAAAAGTACAATATTTATTAGAGATCACTTGGGTGTGATTTAGTAGCCTTCAGCTGAAACACTCAAGTGGCCCAGGAGACTACATTTCTGAAAAACCACGCAACTTGGCAGATGTATTCCAGGAAATGAGGCATCTCAACGCCAGGTCCTTAACCAAAGGCAAAGTCACCTCACAGACTCCGCGAGGCCCAAGCAGCGCCTTTCAGCCCCACACGCATGTGACCACGATCAAACGGCATCTGCCCGTATTCGGTCACTAACTACGGGTACCTCTACGTGAAAACAAAGCTGCTCTGCAGAGGCCTCTTATCAAAACTACATTCTAGGGTGAATCCTACCTTCAATGACGGAACAGAATCAGAACCTGGGAATTCTTATGAACAGAGAGGGCAGAGAATGAAGGTCTCTTTCCAATGAAAGCTCTTAGGCCATTTCTAAGTTGTTGGCTCAAGGAAGTCACCTCCGAGAGAGCCACATTAAGTTCTCCTGCGAACAGCCCAGGGATTATTCCTATCACCCGACCAAAGCGCTGAGGAGCGATGCAACCTGCGTCCCCCTCCCGAGTCCAGAGAGACCTGACATGACTCCACCAGGGTTCTCAGAAGGATTCGTCGAGGCCGAGAAGGTGTGAGGGGGAAAGTTAAGCCCCTGCCAGCTTTCCTGGGACGTGGCTACTGGACACCTGCACGTTCTCCCCTCTGAGGAAGCAGCGGAGGCTCGGCAGGAAAACAGACACTCGAAACATTTTCTTACCAGAAAGTTCAAATACATTCTCCACAGTAAGGGGCACTGGCTGCCGCTGTCACTCCGCAAAGCATTTTCAAACAGGGCTTTGATCCGATGCGTCAAGCCGGTCTCAGGAATTGTGGCGTGGACCTCTCTGCCACCTACCCTGCAAAACAAGGCTCACGTGACCCCGAGACCTGTGCTCGCGCCCAGGGCGCCGGCGGGGGAGGTGCGCTAGCCACAGCAAACGTCAGCTCCGGCAGGACCAGCGCGTCAGGGACGGGGCCGTCCCCCGGGTCTGGCGGCGCTGGGGGCGAGACTGCAGACACGAGGGGCCCCCCCAAGGCCAGAGGAAGGCAGCGCCCAGGGTTCCGTGTTCTCTAGGCCAGAGTCCACCCAGGACTCACAATCTCCCTGTGTCTCCGCTTTCGAGAGCCAAGCCCCCGCTTTACTGAGCAGAACGCAAATGCTACCTGGCGGGAAGGAAAGTCCTTTCAATTTAGGGGATGTAGCGAGAGTAAAATCCCAGCGGAAGAAATAAAAAACAAAGTGAAACACTCTTCAGAGGCGGCTCTGAGGCGTCCGCTGACACGAGGCCAGAGCGAAGCCACGGCCGAAGCACTCCCGGGAGGACGCACGCGCCACATCAAGAGACGACACGGGGCGCGCGATGCCGTCATCACCAGGAGTAAGGACGGGGGCCAGGAATTCCTTCCCTCCGGGCTCTGTGCTCAGCACTTCCCTCCCCGGCCCCGCCGAGCAGCCCGCACAGGAGGCGGTCTCGAGAGGACGGGACTCGCCCGAGGCCACACGGCCAGGCCGGGGAAGCGCTGGGGTCTGAACCCACAGTCCCTCGCCGGAGCCCCTGCTCTGGCCCGGGACGCAGTTACCACGGCTGCTCAGCCAGGCACCGCGGTCACGGCAAGCACAGCGCAGGGTCTGCGGACGCACGGACATCCGTGCTTACCTCTGAACGCTTTCCACCAGCCTCTTCCTCATCTTCTCGGCTTCAATCGCAAATAGCCACGGCTCCAAGGGTTTGGCAGACCTGGTGATGGCATCGAAGAATCTTCTGGTCTTACTGGCCGCGTGGGACCGACTCTGAATCTGTACGTAGGCCCTCCACAGAACCTGGTTGCCCGGGTACCACCGTAAGGCGTCCGAGAGCGCCTGCCGCAGAGGAGCCACGGGGCAAACGCTGACTCTCGCGTGGAAGCGGAGCAGGCTCGTGTGCGTCAGCGTGACGGCCTCGAGACCGCGGCCCGGGCTCTGCGCGCAGCCGGGCTCGTCCGGGCCACAGCCGCCCGGGGAGACCGAGCCCCGCAGCTTCGCACACGCCTGCTCGTAGAGCCGCACCGCGGCATCGATCCCCACGGTCAAATACTGGAAGAGCATGAAGCACTGGAGCGGGCCGGTGAGGCGGTGAGAGGCGTCGGCGGGAGCCGGACCGGAGCCACAGCTCTGCCCCCAACAGTCCTGCAGCGCGTGTTCGTAAGCCTTCCGGGCCTTCAGAACGTGAACGGCCAAGACCGGCCCGGAGTAGGGTGCGTAGGGACCATTCTCCGTCAGTCTGGTCAGTATGTGGACGGCTCGGGCCGTGGCGGCCCCTCTCGCGGCCGGCGAGAGCTCCAGCTCCAGCTCCAGCTCCAGCCCCGCGTAGAGGCGGCCGAGCTCCCAGAGCTCGCACCCCCGCGGTTCTCCGCTCCCCGCCAGGCTGAGCGCCCCGTCGAACACCTTCCTGGCGTCCTCGGTGTTGCCGAGCAACCACTCCACATGTGCGTACTGCTTCCAGAGGCAAAAACTGTTGCGGTTTTCTGGCTCCTTAAGGAGGTTTTTGGCGAGTTTTTTGCAGTTCTTTCCTTGCGACTTTAACCTCTTCTTGTTTTTAGTGTGCAGACACCAAATGACCTGGAAGTAAAAAAGAAAAGGACTCCCAAGTGCTCTGTGATTTTCAAGCAATCCCTTTGTCCTGTGCACTTCAGAAAGCGACACGGGCGTCTACACTTCCTTTCATCACATGGCTGCTAAACACTTAGGCTCTCCGAACTGGACAACATCAGGATTGAACCAAGGCCACTGGCACCCCCAAACGACCGCATCCAGGTTTCCACCGGAAACCTCGGAAAACAAGGCTCGTCTGCTCCAAGTATCCTCCTCCAGCGAGAGGGGGGCCACCAAATTTCCTCGCACACTTTTCTCATAATACGTCCTGGTGTGCGCAATCTGCGTAGTTCAGGCGCAGAGCTCTGGGCGTTAGAGTCAATACTAACTGGTGGCCAGGAGAAGGCAAAAGAGTCCATCCTAGAGGAATTTCTCGCAGATAGATGCGAAGAGCAGGGTAAGTAGCTTAGTTTATCTTTTAATAAACCCCGAAACCCCCTAATGCCTGCTTAAGCTTGGTTCTTCACGCTAACTGCTCATATAATCCCAGACACCTGGCAGAGGAGCGAACACAGCAGCTCCAGTCACTGACGAGCTGCGCACCCCCGCTTTCCTCCTGCCCTCCCAGCCCCTCTGTGGGGCGGCCACATCCTGGGGCCTTGGGGGTCCCTGAACAAGGAGGTGCCGAAGCCCGGCGCTTGAGGAACACCAAGAGCCCCGCGATCGTTTCTGAAGCCCCCACGCGGGGCGGGGGAGGCCGGAGTTACCTTTGCCATCTCGTACTGTAGCCAGGAGAAGCAGAGCTGAGACCTCTCCTGGCCTGAAAACAGAGGCATCACAAGGTGAAAGATGTTGCGGATGAACTCCTCGCCCTCTCGATTGTGCCCGCGGGTCCAGCGGCGGCAGCCCAGTGGGTCTGAGCGGCCAACACAGCTGACGCCGGAAAGGGACAGGTTGAGAAAAGTCAGTGGCTTTTCATCATGAAGCCCATTATCGAAGATGCTGTCCTCATCCATGGCCAGGTAGAGGCAGGAGGCTGGGGGGCTGAGGCCAGAAGGCACGCCCAGGAACTGCAGAAAGGCCGCAACCAGCTGAAACTGAAGATCCTGGCTGGAGAGCTGGATCAGAGACTGAGCAATGTCATCGAACAGCACCTGTAACCGAGACACGGTGAGGTGGCCCGCCGGGGAGCACGGTTTGTTCACCGCGACAGACAAGCGACAAGGCTTCGCGACCTTCCCCACGGCTCCTTTTATGTGGATGTGCTAATGATTCAACACTGTTCCAATTAAATTTTGAACAGACAACAGCTAGGTTTCCCGCAAGCTGCAAAAAAGCTAGAGGCCTCGCCAGGTACTGGAGAGCTGGCGGGAGCTGGTGGCGTTCTCACGCTGCCCAGGCACCCTCAGGAGGAGGGAGGGCCGTGAGCGGGCTTAAGCCGAAACCTTCCAAAGGAGCCTGGTGGATTCACAGAAAATCTAGGATCATATTCCCTTTTGAAAGCACACATAATTGCTTTTGTAGTTACTTTAATTATGATCGTCAAAACTGTTTATTAAGATAGAAGATAAGAATTTTATTTGGGGGCACCTGGGTGGCACAGTCAGTGGAGCATCCGACTCTTGGTTTTGGCCCAGGTCCTAATCTCAGGTTGTGAGATCGAGCCCCACGTCAGGCTCTGCGCTCAGCAGTTTGCTTGAGATACTCTCTCTCCCCCTCCACCCTTCCCTCCTTCTCTAAAAATAAGTAAATCTTTAAAAAAAAAAAAAAAGAATTCTATTATTTGGTGGTTTCTTCATATAAAATTGCTTTCAGAAATGAAAAATATGCTCAAAGGTAGATAAACAGCAGCAAGGGAGGAAGGACACTTTATCATCCATGGGCCGTGGTAAGAGCAATTCTAAGACATAATGCTAACTGTACATGTCCGTAGCTGATTTCATGCAGTCACTTTAAAGTGTAAGGCCACGGAGACCGGCCTCTGTCTCAGGGCACCGCTGACCTACTTGGTCTCCGAGGCTCCCAGCAAAGAGGAAACCAAAGCATGAGCACGGTAAAACTGGACTCCCTGGTCTCAGACTCCTCAGAATCGTCAATTCATCAGAAAGCTTTTCTCCTCCAGGCGCTGATTAGAGAAAAAGCTAAGTGACAAGGAACTGCTCACAGCAGAAGCTTGCTCCAGAAACAAGCTTCCAGAAAACTGCCAGAACTCTGAGCCTCGAGAACCAGCTTCTGGAGAGGTGACCCTGAATGGTGTAAAACCCTCGAATACCGAAGACCCTGCTCTTCCCAACGCCCGCAGTGCCAGTCGGGAAAGGGACATCCTGTGCAGACTCGCCTCGCAGCAGGCCACACACCAAACACCCTAGAGCTGAGCGGCGGTTTCCCTGGCGTCAGCCCCTTCTTCCCGCCCAGAGCTCCCCAATTCCCTGCGTCCTAACCCCATTCACCACTCCTCAAACATTCCGGGCACGTGTGCTGATCCCTGTGCCTGGAGCAAAAGAGCCGGCATCGAACAGTCATTCAACATCCAGGAACACTAACTGAGCACAAGAAAAGCACTGTCTGTGCCCTGGTGATCCAGCAAAACCCCCACCCTCGGGGCACGTAAATCACAGGAGGGTCGCAGACAACCAACCAGGCCTCAGCTGGGGAGCCTCGCGACCGCAAACACCTGCTGGTCTGTCCCTAGAGTGCGTCACATGCCAAGCAGTACGGCTGGGGCCTTAGGAAACTGGGTCCATTTCAGGCTCCAAATAGAATCTCTTCCTTTATTTTAACGTCGAACGTCCAGAGCTGCTGGCCACGAGACAGGGTAGCATGGGCCACGTCATTCCAGGACAGTCAACGAGACAACCGAAGTGCCTGGCGCACAACAGTGGCTCCAGAAATGTGAGCGGCTTCCCCAGCAACACCAGCTGTGTACGGACTGTCCCAGCGCAGCCTCGCCGTCCAGTCCCCGTCCTCCAGAGTCAAACCGCCACGTCTCTGAGGACGCAAGCGTGCGGTGGGGAGAGCGGACGGACAGAGCTAAATAACCTAGAACAGGGATACCACGTCTTGAAAACCCTGAGTCCTCAGGCTTCCGTGTGAAAAATTAACTGAGTGACTGGAAGACCATCTCTTGGAGGGGCCTTCCCTCCGACCTGGGCACGGGAACTATGCGGTTAGGCTCCTCCATGGCTCCCACAGCACCGGTGGCCGGTGAGGCCTCCAGAGACAGGAACGGGAGCAGGTTAACCTCTCCCAAGCCAGGCAAGTGCCCCGGGCGCTCAGCAAGCTTCCTGCAGGTAAGCAAAGCCCGTGGCAGTGGGGAGAAGGGAAGGACCCCGCGGCTGGCCTCCCTCCCGGGGTGGGACACTCGCCTGTCTCTCTGGGTCCTCACAGTCTTCCTCGGTTTGCTTCTTGGTCTTATCAGGGCGCCACGGCCGCCAGTGCCTCTGGTCTCGGGACCGCTCGGCGGCGAGCCAGATCTGCCACCTGGGCAGACTCTTATCTCTTATTTCCTCGTCCTCGTCTTCTGGTTCGTCATCATCATCATCTAGACGAGAGCAAAACTTTTAGCTCACCTCACCAGCAAATAAAACCACCACGGATGCCCAACCAGTCTGCAACACCAGCTGCTGTGGTGGGCCTCTGGAGGGCCAAGACGAGTTAGAGCCAGGCCCGGCCTTCTGGAACGTTCAGGGACTCAGAGGCATTGAGGGACTCTCCTATCACCAGCCGGGTTCCCAAAAAACCCTGGCAGGTTAGCCAATGGAATCAGATGATTTTTAATGCTATCATAGCAATTAAAATGGAACACACATATTCTAGAACAGCACTGTCCGAAAGAACCTTCTACGATGATGACATAACATATACCTTCTGCGTACTATGGTAGCAACCAGCCACGTGTGACTTAGTGGGCACCTGAAATGTAGCTGGCGGCAGAACTCAATTTTTTACTTCATTTCATCTTAATTTAATTAAAATGGCCACATGTGGCAAATGCCTACTGTACTGGACAACACAGTTCCAGAACGCTAAATGACACTTAGTAACAGCACTGGTTTAGGTTTCCTAAAGCCATCAGGATTTTCAGCCAGTGGCCTTATGATCACACCCTGTGTTCACTTCTCAAAAAAAGTCAATTCAAGATATCCTGTACTTTCACTTTGTTTCCTAACTCTGAACATGCAGAATGGAAGAGGAGAAAAGTCTTGAGTCTTCTGTAAAGTTCAATATTTAAAAATAAACAAACAGGGTATATAAAATGGTATGGCTACCCCAGAAAACAGGTGGGCAGTTTCTTATAGAATTAAACGTACATTTATTTATACATGACCTGGCAACTGCACTCTTGGATGCTGATCCCAGAAAAATGAAAACCTACGCGCACACAGACGCCTGTACACTAATACCCACAGCAGCATTACTCATAACGGCCAAACTCTGAAAACACGCCCAGTGTCCCGCAGTAGGTCAAGAGTGAAATAAACCGCGCGGTATGTCTACACCATGGACTACTACTCATGGTAAATGAGAAAAAACCACAGATGCGTGCAATAATTCGGATGGATCTCGGGGATGATGCGAAGGGGACAAAAGCCAATCGTAAGAAGTTACACAGAAAATGAATGGTGGTGAGCATAGGGAGAAACTGGAACCCTTGTGCACCAATGGTGGGAGTACAAAATGGCACAGTCCTGTGAACAGTATAGTGGTTCCTCAAAGAATTTTATTTTTTTTTTTAAGACTTATTTATTGGTGTGCCTGAGTGGCTCAGTCATTGAGCCATCTACCTTCGGCTCAGGTCATGATCCCAGGGTCCTGGGACTGAGCCCCACATCGGGCTTTCTGCTCAGTGGGGAGCCCGCTTCTCCCTTTCCCGCTCCCCCTGCTGGTGTTCCCTCTCTCGCTGTGTCTCTCTCTGCCAACTAAAGAAATCTTATTTTATTTATTTATTTTTAAGATTTTTTTTTTTAAAGATTTTATTTATTTATTCATGAGAGACAGAGGGGGGGAGAGAGAGAGAGAGAGAGAGAAGCAGAGGGAGACGCAGGCTCCCAAGAAGCAGGGAGCCCGATGCGGGACTCGATCCCAGGACCCTGGGATCATGACCTGAGCCGAAGGCAGACGTTTAACTGTCTGAGCCACCCGGGTGCCCTATTTATTTTTAAGATTTTATTTGGCAAAAAAACTATGGAGCTAATCCATAGTTTTCATTCCCTGAAGAAACCAAGGCCCAGGAAGGTGACACATCTTTGAGAAGAGGCTAGCCAAGCCTGGGCCTCTCTCCCCCTCGCACTTTCAACAAAACCAGGGGGAGAAGCAATGAGGGCTGGGAGCTGTGCCGGCCAAGATGGCAGCCACGCCCATGTGGCTACGGGGCACTTGAAACTACGACTAGTCTGAAGTGAAACGTGCTGTAAAGTTTAAAAATACACCCCAGATTTCAAAGAGTTTGTGTGAAAAATAAAATGCAAAATATCTCAATTTTTTTAATAGTTACACATTGAAATATTAAGGCTTTGACACACTGGGTCACACAAAATGTATCACCAATGTTACTTTCATCATCTTACTTTTTTAATGTGGTGACTAGAAAATATGAAGTTACTTCTGTGGCTTGAATTATGTTTCTATTGGACAGCACTGTCTTAGGCTGTAAATCCAGAAAATACTTGTCATTTAGAATGACAGTTCCATAAATGCTAGTTAATAATTATTTTATAGTATTCTTAATAGGGAGGGATGCTTCAAAGGATCTGATGGTCTGTACATTGCCAAGAAAACAGAAAAACTGTCCTTAGGACACACTAAATGGGGTGGGAGGGGAGGACTCGTAGGGAGTAGCAACCTTTTAAAAGGAAAAATGAAACTTCCTCTGGAAAGAAACTCAAACCCTCCACAGGGTTGGGGGGTTGACTCTAAGGGTAAGAGACAGTCTATAATCTCCCAGCGCATCCACTTAACGTATTTCTGACATTTTCATGTTTCTACAGTGTTCTTAGAGACTGACAAAAGAGTTTATACATATAAACAAATAATCAGAAAGACGTGAAAACACATTCCAGAAGAAGGCGGCAGAGGTGTACACATCCTAAAGAGAGGTGCCTTACCTGGACTGATGACCACCCAGCCGCCTCGCTCCTGCTGGTGCATCCAGGCTCTCCAGCCTCGAGCACCCTTCTCCCCAGCCCGGGGCTCCCCGCTGTCCCAGAAGGGCTCAAAGAATTCCACCTGTTCAGGTTCAAAATACGGAGGTGAGCCTAACTTGTACAAAACTGCTGAGTCACTGAGCAAAGTGTGCTCTAATAGGCCTAAGAGGGGCTTCTGGTTGAAATCTTGGGTGCCATCAGTCTTTCCAGCAGATACAGGATACACCCCAAAACGGAAAAAATAATGAGCTAGTGTGGTAGGCGGCCTCCAAGATAGCCCCCTGTGACCTTACCCTTGCCTCGTGGCATTCACACCCCTGAGTGTGGGCTGGGTCTAGTGACCTGTAACAAACAGACACGGTAAAGCGTGACGGGCCACCACTTCTGAGAGTCTGTTACAGAAAGACCGGCCATGGTCGGCGAGAAGGGCCTCCAGCTGGGTAGGAGAGGATTGGTTTCCCCGCTCTGACCCTGGTAGGCCAGTCTAACTGGGGACAGGGACACAGCCCGTTCCCCTAAAGCCACGGGGCCCGTGAATACCTGAAATCATGTCGCTTTCAAGACCTTCCAAGGAGAAGGGGATTCAAAGTTTCAATAGGACAGACTGGGAGTTATTGAGGGCATGACATCTCAACTCTGTGTTCCTAAAATCTGGCACAGTGCCCAATACCTAGTAGGGACTCAATAAACGCTTGTTGGCACAGCCAGTGAATAAAAAGGTCTGTGTGTTAAAGCCAGGCCCTGTGATCACACCTCTGCTCTCATGCATTTGGGCATTACGTCTGCTGTGTGTGGTGACCAGTTCAGTGCAGTAATTCCCTGTAGAGGAGGATGTGAACACAGCAATGAACAGAAAAGCAATCGTGTTATCACCTGACAATAAGGACTTTATTTTTTTTAGCTGTTTTAATTCTTTTTCAAAAATATTTTATTTTAGAGAGAGAGAAAGCACAAGCAGGGGGAGTGGCAGGCAGAGGGAGAGGGAGAAGCAGACTCTCCGCAGAGCAGGGAGCCCGATGCGGGGCTCGATCCCAGGACCCTGGGATCGCGACCTGAGCCGAAGGCAGGCACTTAACCAACTGAGCCACCCAGGCGCCTCGACAATAAGGACTTCAAAAGTGAGCCAACCACTTGCTCAAGGAAAGCTTTTGTAAGAAACCTTTAGAAGAAGACGAGGCTTCCAGGGGCAAGCTGTGGACCAGGAGCCGCAGGACGGGCCAGCCTGAGCCCAGGGCGGTGCCCCGCACGCATGCAAGAGAGCCCCGGGAGGGCAGGGCAGTGGTCTGGAAACAGGCCCCATACCGAGTGCCCAGCAGCCACCTCAGGTAGGGGAGCTGGAAAGACCACACTCTCTCTTCGCAGTCTTGCTCTTACAGGAGGGACTGAAGAAAGCGCACTCAACAAAAAGAAGTGTGGCTTTTTTTAAAGTGTGAAAGTTACAACCGATTTATTTATATTCCATAGCAACACAGACCAAGGGGTGCCTGGGTGGCTCAGTAGGCTACACGTCTGCCTCTGGCTCAGATCATGATCCCAGGATCCTGGGATTGAGCCCCATGTCAGGCTCCGCAGGGAGCCTGCTTCTCCCTCTGCTGCCCCCCCTCCTCATGAGCTCTGGCAAATAAATGAAATCTTAAAATATAAAAAAAAAAAGGAAAAAGAAACACAGACCAGACTCTGCTTCTTTCATGCTATACTACTGTGTCTTATAACAATGTCTCTCAGTTTTAAAGATATGGAATGGCCTCAAAGATAAAGCTTTATTTCAAAGTTGTCTTGTGAATGCTTTGAAACTACATGTGTTGTTAGTATTGAAAACCTCCAGAGCACGCAGCGGGGTCTGCTGACACTTGAGGGGAGTGGCTCCTCATGCTTCACAGTCCCGGGCACTGCCCTCCCCGCAAGGAACTGTTCTCATCACAGTCCATGATCGTCAGCAAAGGGCGGGGATGAGGGCCATTCTGACCCTGACCCCACAACCACACACCCAGGGCCCCGCAGTCCGCCAAGATTCACTTCCGTAGCACAGCATATTCTTAAAACAGCACACCAGGTCTTAAAATAATTTTGTTATCTGGCTTATGATACTACTAATCAGGTATACTAATATTAGCCAATATTCTTTAACCCAATTTTGTCTAGGAAAGAAACAGATAAAAATAATGATGAAAAAAATAGTCTTTAAAGGCAATTCAGGAACATTCCACAAGATGGAGATCTTAGCCTCCCGAGACCTCTGTCAGTTCACTATAAATTCAGATATCCTATCCATCTTCCACCAGACCCCCTTTGCAAAGTCGGAAATGGAGATTTCTTCCAAGGAAAAAGGGAGAAGGTGGCTTTCTTATATGGGTAGCTCTATGATGAGATTTTTTTTTATTGCTTCACATCACAAATATGGGCAATGTTCACTTGTCATCTAAACGACAACACCTCCCCAATTTAGGATCAGTGTCGACAAAGTGCCAACATGCGCTATCGTTTGCAATTCCTGCAAAGATCTCACGTAGTGGAAATGCGAACTGGGGAAACGACCTAAGACCGAGCTTCAAAGGCACAGAGGGAGGAGACAGTGAGACGTGCTCTAAGAGGCACGACCCCTGTTTCTCTGCCTGGTGGGGACAATTAGCAATGAAACAAGGCCCGTAAGTGAGAAAAGAAAGGGAGGGACATGGTTGAGTCTCTATACTGGGGGGAGTAGATCTTTCATCTCTCCAAGTTTCACTACCTTCATTATAGGAATTTTCCTTGGATCACCAGCATATTCTGAGCAACAGTTCTCAGCAGGACTGATACAAAGAGGATAGGATTTTAAAAATACTACCACCGCTTCCCATTATCCACACCTGCCCCCAGAAGACAGAGAAGTGAAAGGGAGGGGGAGAGAGGGAGGGGGAGAGAGGGAGGGGAGAGGCCGGTCTACAACTAAACCCGCACCTGTCCTTTGGTAGGCAGGTCTTTCACGCTGTCTGGCTTGAAGAAGGTGAAGTCCACCATGGCCTGGAAGAGCGAGATCGCCTTCTCAGAGTGACCGGCCTGCCGCAGGAAGTGACAGTGCTGAAGAAAGAGAGCTGAAAGCAGGGAGAGCAAGAGGGAGAAGCCTGGTTAACATCAATTCACGGGAAAGAGCACAACTTCCAACAACATGCGTTTCAACACCGAGAACATGTTTTCTCCGAAATTAGTTCCTGTGATCTTTTCAAAAGCTGTACTAATACGTGTCCTCATTAAAAGGACCCACCACGGAACTGTAATCAAAGTACATTTATTCCAATTTTTATACGAAACCACTGTGGAATACAAATATTAACAACTATATATGCTGCATAAAAGTAAGGCAAGAGAACGGGCTGCCTGGGTGCCTCAGTCGTTTAGGCGGCTGCCTTTGGCTCAGGTCATGATCCTGGAGCCCCGGGATCGAGTTCCACCTCAGGCTCCCTGCGGGGAGCCTGCTTCTCCCCCTGATCCTTCCCCCTTCTCATGCTCTCTCTCAAATAAATAAAATCTTAAAAAAAAAAAAGTAAGGCAAGAGGTTGTTCTGAACAGTTACCAAATACTCAAAGCTCATTATTACAAGAAAATTCTAGGAGAAGGATGGTATAGATTTTCATCAGAAAGCAACGATCTGTGCTCGATGGATCACTAGATGGTGATCCATCTTCATCATTTGTTCGGAGGCCACTGTAAACAAATCAAGGTTCCATCCATGAAAATTTCAGTTTGTCTGAATTGTGGTACAGTTTCATGTTCTGAGTAACAATAGGCTATTTGCGCATACCACAAATGATATCAAATATGAGGCTCTTTATGTCAGTGTTGTAAATGCTTATTATTTCTAGAACAATATATCTCTAGAATATAAATATAAATATGAATGAATGAGAATCTAATCTAAAAGCAAAATCTAATCTAAAAGCCTTTGGCTTGGGTCATGATCCCGGGGTCCTGGATCAAGCTGCGCATTGGGCTCCCTCTGCGCCTCCCCCTGCTCATGCTCTCTCATCCCTCTTCCTCTCTCCAAATAAATAAAATCTTTACCAAAAAAAAAAAGAAAAGAAATAGCAAAGTTCTGATCAAATAAACACCTGCTGTGTGCTGGACACGGAGCCAGACTCACCATGGGTCAATCTCTGTTAACGTGCTCGATGACCCTATAAAGCAAGTATTGTATCATTGCTGCTGAGCGAGAAACTGGAGCTCAAGCAGGTTAAGGAAATATGCAAGGTCACAAGAGAACCAGTGAAGGGCAAATCCAGGCTTCAAGTCAAGAGTGATATTCTCCAGCTCCTGTGTGACAGGCTGCCTTCTGTACCTCATTACTGGACAGAGTTCATATTCTAGCTCCTTCGGGACACAGAACCTTAACAGTATAATAATATCGTTAACTGCCTCTGCGTGCTGATCCCCAGCCATCGGGGCATCCCTGCGAACACCACCGCTTGAGATCCCAGAACGGGTGAAAGGAGCGGACAGTTACCGCAACAGGGAAGGCCACGGACAGCCACAACCGCTGAGACTTGACTGTGTTTCCTTGGCTAATAAGCAGGAAAGCTGGAGCTTCTAGGCTGGGGATACTCTGCTAACTTCACCGGCTCCGAGGCCCACTGCGCATCTCCAAGAAGGTGGAGAAGCGAGAATCTGGTCTAGTCCAAAGGGGTCCTAATACTTTGTTTAAATCCGTTGTATCAATTTGGCCATTTCTAAAATAAACCAAAAACACACCTTCACTTCTGCCTAGCGCCAGAAGAAAGTGTAAGTCCCCCGACACGCAGGGACTTGGTGCTCGGCCTCTTACCGAACACGGCCTCCTCGGTGCCGGGCAGGGCGGGGTGCGACAGGATGCTGCCGTCCTGCACCGCGGACAGAGTGCTCAAGCATTTGCCGTAAAGACCGTGGATCTTGGACACGGTGAAGGTGCTGAACTGGCTTTGGCAAAATAAAAGGTACTTCTGCCAGAGGGCCGTACTGTTGGGGTGTACAAATATCAGTTTCTGCCACTCCTTGAGCAGTGCCGAGGGCTCCCAGAACTCCGCGCACAGCTTCAGCCGGGCCAGCTTCAGCTCCACGGAGCTCTGGTTGCTCTCAATGGCCCGCTCCAGGATGGCCAGCTGCTTCTCCAGCACCAGCTTCACAGACCTCTTCCGCTTCTCCTGCTCCCCCTCCTCCAGGACATACAGGCCAGGGCTCCGCACGACCTCGTCCTCAAGACAAAAATGTCAATTCACAACTGGAAGTCGGGGAGCCTCAAAAGCCCACCATTGCCCCAGAGCTACTTGCAAGGCCCGCCCTCCGGCGCCTCCCAGGATGAATCGCCCTTCGGACCTCCTTGGCTTGCTGGTCACCATTTTTTCTGGGTGGTGGAATTCCATTCCTCGGGTTCCTGTTGGCTCGTGTTTCCCTCACCCGACCGTCTGCGCTCCGTCATGGGAGTTACATACCGGGAGCGAGCACGCAGCGCCCTGAGCGCTGCTTCTCAAGAGCCCACTTTACCCACGACACAGGCAGATGTGGGGCAAAATACACCCATACGAGCGGTTCAAAAACAAGTGAGCAGGATGAAGCCAGAGCCCCAGCTGGGTCGTCGGGGGAGCAGCGCCTTCTCTTCCCCAATTCTGTGCATCCTGTACCCTGCACCCCCACCCCCACCCCCGGGTGAACAAGGGCGCTTCTTCCCAGATTGTTTAAATTTCATCTTCTTTTAGGAGCCCTTTCGCGCTCCCTAGAGCCAGGTCATGCCGCCTCCCACCCCGAAATTACACATGAAAGCACTGCCTCCCACCCCCAAATTATACATGAAAGCATTGACTCTCCACACATCGGGCTTCCTCATGGGCTTGGAGCAAGCTCAGGGCAAGGGCTCCAGGATAATACACTTCCAATGCCTGGGGCCCGGGTTCCTCCCAGGGGCTCAGAAACGGCTGCGGAGCACACTGGTTTGCCCCAGACTAGCAGAGTCTTTCTAAATAAGAGCAGCAGGACGGCGCTACTTACCTGAAAAGCAACGAACGCCATCCACAGCTGAATATCGTGAGGGTTCTCCCGCACTCTCCTGTTGAACTCCTCCACCTTGGCCTTGAGCAGCGCACGCTCTCTGTCTGTCTGGGAGTCTGGCTGCTTTGATTCTTGCTCTGGAGGACCCTGCCCTTGTAACCACTGCGTGGTGGACTGATCGTAAATCCCCAGAGGGTTCAACCAGGTCATAACGGGAGGAATCACATCATCCAAGCCCTTCACGGGGATAAAGGAGATTGGCTCAGACGAGGGAGGTTCAGTTTTACTGCCAACAGCAACTCCATCAACGTTCATTAAGCCCACGCTCTTCTTCGTAAAATAGCGCTCAACATGCTTGTGTGAAGGCTTCTTTCCTGCGGCAGCCCCCTCCCAGGATATACACTGCTTCTTAGGGTTAATGCCAAGGCAGGAGTCTCCTTTCCTCTTGTATCTTGTATTTGAAAAAGAAAGACAGTTACTGAGGGAACAGGAGCATAGCCCTGCACCAGTGGAGGCTCAGCTCGGCGGATGAGCTCTTGTGAAGCAAGCTAACTTCACCTTACCTTCCAACGGTTTCTATTTAGAGAAATACGACAATTAGCAATCAACTTTTTCTGTGTGGAACTTATTCCTCTGAACCCTTCAATTCTTTGTTAACATCGCGTGAATTTAAGATCAGTCCTGTCTTCCAGATCTAGTAATTTCTATTTTTCCTGGAGTTTTGTAAAGTTTGCCCCATACATTACACGTCACTGATCATCACGATCCTATGTAACAGACAAGGGGTAAATCCTCAACCCCTCCTTTACACTATTCGTAAAGACACCAGAACCTTGGGTGACAGTGAGTCATCTGTCTCCTACACCGGTCCCTTTTCCTCAAGATAGTCCTGTGTCCCCACGTAAGAAGAAAACAGGGAGGGCTAAGATTGTATTTTTAATCCTGAAACAAAATAATTAAAATTACACTTGGCTGTTTTCTACTCCAGAGGGAGAGAGGCTGGGTTCTAAAAGGCCTGTATGGCGCGTGCAGGTGCCCCCAGAATCACACTCACAACTACTGAGTATGTGCCTGAAGGCTGAGGGAACTGTGCACTCTTCTGCAGGTGTGTTACACAAACCACCGTTAAAGAACGGACAAAGGATCCAGGCGGAATTCACAAAAGATGACATGAAGGGCCAACTGGCGCATGCAGAAGCGCTCGCCATCATTAATCATGAGGGAAGTGCAAATTAAAACTGCAAGGTGCTATGCCACATACCCACCAGAACGGCTAAAATTAAACACCGAAGACACTGAACCCCAGGGAGCGATCTGCTGGGGAACCAGGACTCTCACATGCTGTTAGTGAGAATGGAAACTGGTACAGTCACTTTGGGGAAAGGTCCGGCAGTTAGACTTACCCTGTGAATCGGCAATTCTATTTTAGGCATTCCCCCAAGAAAAAGGAAACTGCCTTTCTACACAAAGACGTGTGCACAGATATTCTCAGCTGAATGCCACGAAGAGCCCAGGTGCTCATCACTAGGAGAACAGATAAACAAGCCACGGTATGGCCACACAACAGAAGGTGACCAGCAGTGAGAACAAACTCCTGACAAACACCACAATGGCGCTGGATGTCAAACACATCACACTGAGTGAAAGAAGCCGGGCCCAAAGGCGTACGTACTATATGATTCCATTTATATGGAATTCCAGAAGAGACAACGCTAATTGAGAGTGGAAAAAAATTAGGACGGTAACTGCCCCTGGGGAGGTGGGGTGTGGACTGAATGGAAGAGAGCAGGAGGAAATTTTGTTGGGGGGGGGGGTCACAGTGATGTTCTATATGTTCACAG